AAAAAAAAAAAAAAAAAAAAAGAGAATTGTGGACCACAAGGACACTCAGTTCCCATACCTGAGGACCCCAGGGGTTTGCAGGACAAATCCAGCAAGCGGGATGCCCGGATATCCCATGGGTTTGACAGGATGCTGCCTTAATGGAGAATCCAAGACCCTATCGAATCTCCTGGACCCCGCCCCTGTGCACACACAGGCACACAGGTCCACACTCCCCCACCTCCAACAAGCTCATAACGGGAAGCCAAGCGCATTCCAGCTGGGCACTAGAAAGCTGTGACAGTCCACAGAGAGACGCTGCGCCCAGCACAGGTGGGTGTTCAGGAGCTGCCCTCACCTGCACTGAGACTCAAAAGGCCGAGGAGCCCTGGCAGAGTGGACGGGGAAAGGGGATATCTTTGAAGACGCTGGCCGCAGCTCCAGGTCTGCCCCACCCAACCTCCAACTCAGAGGAAGGGCTGCCACGTGTCCTTCGAGGTGTGATGTGAGACCCCTGTGTGGGGGCAGTGACCTGGGGTCTGATCCTCATTTGAGAAATCAGGGGAGAGAGAGGGCATCTGAGCCTGGAGTTCCCACGAACCAGACATGGGTGTGGAGGGGTGGGGGGGGAGTGTCTTCTTGGCAGGCACAGCAGCAAGAATCAAACCATCTAAAGTAGAGACACTGCTGCCTGTGGGGGCAAAGGAGGCTTCCAGAAGGGAAGAACCTCCAAGAGTCCTCTACAAGAGCCCAAGAGAGAGCCGGCCGTTCATGCCAGCCTGCGGCCCCAGCACTCCAGCCAGCTTGTCCTGCCCCTCTCCACCATCCCCTGTGCACTCAGGAGCAGCTGGGGAAGCCGAGGGGCAAAGAGAACCCCCTCAGCCTCAGACCTTCTGCCCTGGACCCCCCAGGCCTGACCCTCTGTGACAGCGGAGACACAACAGGGAGTGTCACTCAGAGTCTGAAGGTCCCCTTGAGTGGGACCCCAGGTGACCCTGAGGAGGAAGAGAGGTCCCAGGGCAACCAGGAGGCTTTCATCCAGGAAGGGGGCAGAGCATCCCCGCTGGATCAAGTTTAGAGACAGACTGCCCCTTCCGTCAAGGAAGTTTTTGATCATAACCTCCGTGGGTCAACAAAAAGGCCTCAAGGCATCCCCCAGGTTGGCCCACAGGCTCAGACACACCAGCCACGTGCAGATGCACGGACACGCATGCACACCCAGGACACACCCAACACCCACCTCTCACCCTCCACACAGGCCCACCGCCCGGCTTGGGGCCCCCAGAGAGTCCCAAAGCCTGGAAAGGGAGACAGCAGGGGTCCCACCCTGGGTCTCTGGGGCTCTCACTGCCCACACTATGGGTGCAGCACTAGCCCCACTGTCCCCACTCCTCAGGGCACTGGTGGCTCTGGTGGCTGAGCAGACGCCCCTCCAGCCCCTGCATCCCACAGGGCCAGTTTGCACCAGGGGAAGGTGGGAGCTGTACCACTGTCTTGGTGCCTCTCTGCACCAGGGCCTTCCTCGAGGGTGGCCAGGTGCTTGGGGCTCCCACCGAGGGAGGGCACCCTGTGGAAGGCCAGGGTGCACACGGGAGCCGGCAGCAAGAGCCGCCCCGAGGGGGTTTATGTGGGTCAGACCCAACACAGCCAGGGGCAGGGGCTGGGCTGGCAGGAAGTGTCTGTGGTGGGGCAGCCGATGGGATGCCAGTCCACACCTGCCGGCTCCCCACCCAGCCTCCGCCTCCCCCGCCACCGCGGGAGACCGCCTGGGCACAGCCACCCCCACACCCTGGCGGTGCCCAACATTGCTTATGTAACAGGCTCTGGCTGATGCAATCTCAAGGGGGGGCCTCTCCCTCCTGCTTCCTCCCAGCTGTCCCCTTCCAGCAGGGTGGTCCCAGACTTCGGAAGGCCAGCCCAGCACATGGTCACTCACCAGTCACCCGACCACACGACGGACGAGGGCATGCACAGGTGCTGCTGGAGGTTCCAGAAGGAAGCCCAGGATCTGCCCATGGGGAGGGGATGGCAAAGGGGACCCTTGCTCTGGCCCTAACCCAGGCCCAGAACAAGCCTTCGAGGACAAGGCCCCAGACCCTCTGCCCATGGACAGACCCCCCCACTCCATTCCCAGAAGACCTCACAGCCCAGGGCCTCTGCCTTGTGACATCCTCTTCTGAGAAGTCTCTGGAGCTGGCCCATGGGGACACGGACTCAGCCCTGCCTATCCCTGTCTCTGACGGGCCCTTCCTCTCCCCGGATGGCTTCTGTTGTGTGGCCCTGAGGTCACCCAACACCTGATTCTGTGACAATGCCCCCCACCACCCCACACACTCTTTTCCTCAGCCAACCCCTAGCCCCTTCCCACCCTCAGACACGCTCTGTCCCTGCAGCAGGCCCTAAGCTTTCTAAAACCAGACCTGGGGGGTCACCATCCAAGCAACCCCAGTCAGCCCTTCCCCAAGCCCCAGCCTGTGCCCTTGAGCTCACCAGTCCCTCCTCCCTATGGCCCCATCTGATGAGGACAGAGCAGAGGCCCAGAGGGGTCCAAGACGCAGACCATGCAGCCAGTGCTAAGGAGGGTCCCGCCCGGCCAGAGTGAGGGGCTCTGGGGAGGAGCAACTTCACCTCAGAACTCCTTGTCATGCCAGCTCCTGGCCCCTCGTGGCTGTCCATCTGCCCTCCTGGCCCGCCTGGCAGTGCACCAGCCCTACCCCTCCTGAGGCTCCACGGATCCAAACCTGCTCTAATTAGGACCCAGTACCCTGTGATCTCCCACCTCCTGGGCCGGAGGCAGGGTGGGCCGAAGTCAACCAGAGAGAGGAGAGGCACCTTTGCTGCTTCCTCCACAGCAACCCCAGCCCCTCGCTCCCTCCCGGTACACGCCAGCTCAGCCCTGCAGGACCCCAGGCTGACCAAGGCTGAGCCACTGCAGCTGCACCCAGGCTGGCGAGGTGGCCCTTCTCGGGTTAGTGCATTACAATAGCAGCAGTGGCTGATACCTGCACACCACCTGCCAGGCTCGTGCCAGGCCCAAAGCACCTAGCACTGAGTAATTTGCATCACTTCAACAGAGCAACTGGGAGAGGGGCACTGTTCTTTCTGGTTTTTAGCTTTCTTTTTTGAGACAGGGCCGCTGGCTGGAGTGCAGTGTTGTGATCATGGCTCACTGCAGCCTTGACCTTCTGGGCTCCAGTGACCCTCCCACCTCAGCCTCCTGAGTAGCTGGGACAACAAGCACGACCACCTCGCCTGGCTCAGAGATGGCTTCTATGCTTTTCCCCATCTGCAGATTGGAAAACCGAGGCTCAGAGGACCTCATCATTTACCCACACCTCAGTCCTACAGCTGGCAGTGGTGACGCCAGGTTTGAGTGCAGGCAGTCGGCTCCCAGTACACCCTCCCCCAGCACACCCTCCCCCAGCACACCCTCCCCCAGCACACCCTCCC